GGGGCTTCATAAGCCCCCTGTGCAGCCATTCCAGTCTGCAGTACCAAGGGAACTTCACGTAGGCAAACCTTTCCTCATGTAGTTCGATTGTGAGATGCTTCTGGTGAACCAAAAGCTGTCCCCCAAATTAGCTCAGCATTGGTAACCAGGAATCCTATGGAACTCTAGCCCGGGGAACTCCCCTAGCCTTCCAGACCCTTCAGTCACCCCGGATCTGGGCAGAATCTGGGGCTGCAAAGGGGAGGATTGGAACCAACTGTAGATAAGCATGTCTGYCCCCCCAAAGGGATTTGTTTAGTTTTACAAGCCATACATAGAGCTGTAAAAAAAATACAATGTGAAAAAAAAAATCTTCAGAATAAAACAGTGTCTTTGGTACTGGGAAGAACAGCCCCAGCAAACTCCTTGGCCTCTCAGCAAGCCAGACCCCTAATCCCAGAGGACTGAGGATGAGTAGGGAAGTGGGCAGGAGCCATGCTGGGGGGTAGGGGGCAACTGCCAGCAATGCTTTTAAACTCTGCACAATAAGAGTGTGTTCTTCCACTAGCACGGTGGGGGAGGCGGGAAACTAAAGACTGCTCCCTGATACATTCATTTGGGTGCAGAAAAATGAGCAGTCACTAGGCAGAGACAGCAGCTGTGTTACAGGACTTGCTCAGGTGTCTGTGTGATACATGCCCAAGAGGAAAGAAGGGGGTCACACACACAGGTGTTCAGAGATACAGAGCATTCCCACCCCACTGGAAACACTAACAGACACAGTGAGGAAGCGAATGGATGGCATCTCCATGCTGAGATGGGAATGACAGAATTTGGCATTTAGAAACCCCAGGTGTCTTTCACTGTTTTGTTTTTATGAGGTCTGGGTCAAGAGGTTTCAGAGAAACAGACTGGCTTTTTAAAAGATATTTGGCAAATGCAATTTAAGTGAATTAACTCTTCCTGTCTTAACAACCAGAATGGCTTGCCACTCTTTAGTGATGGTGGCGCTGTGATGGTAATGGTGGTAATGGTGGTGTAGTGGTGGCCATGGTGATAGTGGCAGTGCTGCTGATGGTGGTGGTGGTGGTGATGATGRTGCTGGTGATGATGATATGGTGGATAATGGTGATGGTGGTGGTGCTGTTGTTGGTGGTGATGGTATTGGTGGTGCTAGTGGTGGTGGTGCTGTTTGATGATGGTGGATAGTGGTCTTGGTGGTAGTGGTGTGTGTGTGTGGGGGGAGGGTATTTAAATAAATGATGCAGACTCAGGAGTGAGCAGGATCCTCACCTTCTGGTCACCATGAATGAGAGGACAAGTCATTCAATGTTTGATGCCCATGCACTGATGAAGCACCAGCTTTGCAGATGACCTTCAACTGTGCCTGCAGATGGGAAGCCATTCGACTCCTGGGTTCCTCCTGCACTTWACTCCTCCCTAGCAGCTCTGAGATGATACAAGACTCTTAATATAGGATAACCAAACTCTCTAAGGCTTCTTGGTACAAGGAAGGTGACAAATATTGGGTTGATTTCAGGGGTCTCCTTTGCCTGCTCTACATCAGCCACAGGAGGGGACAGTTTTTTCTCTGCAGACAGGACAGAGTCCATGCTAATCTCATTTCCTGTCCATGCCAAGGATGAGTCACCACTTGGCTCCTTTGTTAAGTGGAGTTGCTGACATCTGCTTCATTTACTGCACAGGGATGGGGCAAGGACAATGGGAGGCAGCTACTGTAGAAGTGTGAGGCACCCAACTTGCCCCAGAAGAAAGTAGGTGGGGACATGTTGACAAATAAAGCATTAATCCATAGGAGGCCACCATCGATGATCTGGGAAGCACAGGTGATCTGAGGGGGGTCCTTAGGTATTCCTCATGAGGACAGGAAGTGGCTTGAAATGTGTCGTTTACACGGGGACTCTTCAGTGCCGTTTGACAATGTTGTACAACACCTGTTCATGAAGTGGGCTTGCTGAGGTCTCCCAAAAGTAGCTGGCACTCCCACGTGCTCTAGAACCGCCACAGGGAACTGGCAAACCGAGYTGCCAACTGGACACTCCAGGGTCAGGCCTGGTGGCCAAACCTGCCATACCCCAAAGTGGCAGGATGGAGGAAGGGAGCCCTTTTAGGTTGGAATGAGTGAACATGTGTCCCAGTTGCACTTGGTGTTACAGAAAGAGTCACCAAGATTCCCAGCATCCTGTTCCCCATTGTCAGTGTAGACACCCACCAGGAGGGCCCAAGACAGGGGATACAAATACAAATYGACAGAATTTAAGGCAGTTCGAGCTCTCTTTGGAGTAGAAACATCCTCATCCAGGTCTGAATTTTAAATAAATGGTGAGGGGTTTCACTCCATCTTTTGTGTCCTCTTTCCAGCCAATTCTGGCTCAATCCATCTGGGTAGAGCAGAGCCATGAAACTCCCTAAGTCCACAGCATGGGCTGCCAAAGGCCCTGGACTGGAAGAGTGGATGGAGGGACCTGCTAAGTCTGGGGACAGGGGAGTCTCTAGATTTCTCTCAGTGACACTCTGCTGACCCTGGCCCACACATAGAAAAGGAACCCCACCTGCAAAACACCTCCCTGGCCTCCTGCCTGGGATCCCCAGCCTGAGAGGGACAGGTCTCCAGTTACACCAAGTGGATATCACAGAAGGTCCCTCAAGTTCGTTTTAATAGGCTTTAGATTTAAACACAAATATGCAACACAGAAACTGGAGGGACAGGAAGAGGAATGTTGTGGCCCCATTAGACTAATCCCAGAGAATGCAAGCCCCCAGCCCCACCCCATCATGACATCCAGCCAGAACCTCTTTGTCCCAGCCTTTGGCAAACAGTCAGTGGGGACAGGGCCGGGCAGGTCTCCCAGCCTCCTGAAGAGACCAGTGCTGTTGGGCAGGTCTGTCTGCAGCAGGTGGGGACACTGCGGCATCTATATGAGGACACAGCACCCCAGCCTGGGAGGCAGATCTCCATGTCAAGAGAGGTCCAAATCCGAATGGTGTGGGGTAGAGGTATTAAGGAGGAGGCATGCTGCTACTGCTGCCTGTGTTTTGGGGAGCAGTAATGGCTCAGATGAGGAGCCATATGTGATGGGTGTTGGTGATGAAGAAATTAAGCCAGGGCCGTGTGGAAATGAGCTCGGAGCCCCGGTCAGGGCTGCTTAGAGCACAACTCTAGTCCACCGAGTAAGGGATTCCTTAGTTCTAACATTGCTACGACTTTGACCGCAACAGCCTAACACTGTACCACATTCTAGCATCACACACTGAAGTCTGTATTGCTGTGTAACTGCTTTTAGCATGTGCGGTTATGGAAGCGGTTCCTAATTCGGAGAGCTAAGCTGCTACCGAATTTGTGTCGGCAGGTTGTGCCTGCTGAAAGAATAAAGATTGTGCGTTTAGTCAACGTGGCATGATCTACTCTACTGGAAGGCCCAACTCAATACCACAGATCATGCAAAGCCACTAAAGGGAAAAGAACTGTTTCTCCACGGAGAAGCTACTGTGTGTGTCCCCAGAACAGGCAAAACCCTCGGAAGTTCGCTAGAAACGAGGCATGCCTGAGGCCAAGAAGCCCAACTTGGAGCATGTGAGGCATATATACCACGTCTGCCTCCAGGTCAGCCACATGTGTGACACTGGGCAAGCCGACCCTTCCATGGGCCATTTCYTCCTGCTCAGTGGCTCTTCTTGCCATGGGCATGTTAGAAGGTAGACCTGGGCTCAGGACAACTCTGAGGGCTTTGGGGAGAAAAGTGCAGGGTCTTTGTCACAGGGAACAAAGGCATCCTTATCATCACCATATTGACTGTTTAAACTACTTCCTTCATTTGTGTGTCATGCTCCTAATCGTCCACAGCACTACATGAATATCTTTCACATTCTAATTCTACCATTTCAGAGACAATGGCCAGTCCAGTAGCCGAGGACTGCTGGCTGGCTGTTTCACTGGGCTTCTCTGTTTGGGAGATCCTTCTGGTCCTAGGTTAGGACCACGGTCAGATACAGAATTGCTCAATCATYCGGGAGAAAGTACAGCTGGGTTTCGGGGAGATCATGTGATGATCTAGCACCTCTTAGACAGTTTGGTTTTCTGGAAGTCCCTGCTAGAACCCCTGAGCCATCTCAATGTGCAATGATGGGATTGAGATACAGAACCAAATTGAAATGGGGTTGCCTAGGAAATGCAGGCCTGAGGGTCAGATTTCAATGAGTTGACTGTTCACAGCATCCTTTAGAGCTGTAATGGAATGAGGAGGACGCTTTTCTATTCTGTGCCTGGTCAAATATGGATCCATCAGCAGTACTCCTTCATGAGGATAGGACACGAATGGTCTTGGTCATSTCCAAGGTCATGTCCAAGGTCTCACCCTCACTCTACAAGGTCATGCTCCTCCATGTATTTTTTGTTTTTGAGGGTGCACTAATAGCTTATGACCAATTCCAAGATGCCATTTAGGAAAAAAAGCAAAACTTGTGTCACAAGACTGTATCGATGAGTCACTGTCATGAATAACACTGGCAAAACATTTCAACCCCCTTAGGGCTTCCCACTGTTATCCCTCATCGACTCAGACTGGAGGATTTGTAACTAAAACTTGCAGATGGAATAGTAGTGACCTCACGTCATGTTGACTATGAAGCCARTTGTTCCAAAGGCAGTTATCATTCACAAATCGCTGGTGTTTGTGTTAGAGTACCACTTGGTGGTAGATCAAAAGGCGCTTCTTCTCTGTATCTTTTTTTTTTTTTCCTTTTTCTATTTTGGGTAGAAATATCCCTAGGAAGCTGGATAGAAATGCATTTTCATTTCCCAATAATTCTTAGGCACAAGTTAGAAAACTGCTGACCTTCACTAAAATATGTCAGCAAATCACGTTATAAAAAATGCAATTCAGAACCGCTGCATGTGTATATACGTATATCTAAATATACACACATATCGGTGCAGTACACAATGATTATTCAATGTATATTCAAAATTGAGCTATTTGAAACTAACCTGAAATTCTGCRGTGAAAGTTCATCACTCAAGAACAATTGGAGTTGTCTTTTGGCTCTAACTATGGTAAAACGTTTTTGCACACCRGACTCTACCGTTTACACCTTCCTAAGCGCCAACACCACGACAGTCTTACACAGGGGTCAGAAGAGAATGCTGCCTAGGATGCATTATGCAGCTACTGAGCATGCGCGCATGGCGGCCGCCGGCACTTGGCCAGCACATGGTCAGCACTCCCCCGGGTGGACAGAAGCCTGAGCTCCCGCAGGCTGCGTGGTGACGTCATCTGGGCGTGGTGCTGACCCTGGCTGGGGAGGAGGGCCCGGATGAGGAGCCTCTGTAAACCGGGGATGTGGGGGAGAGTTTAATCGGGCTGGTTGGGTCCCCAGTTTGAAGCTTCCAAAGCAGCTCTTCGTTGGTTCGGCTCAATCTCTTCTTCTCCTGGGTCTCTTTCTCCACGTATTCCTGGAGATTAGCATTTTCCTCTGACAGCTGTCTGCATGGGGGAGGGAGGTGACAAACAGTTAGGCAGCAAGAAGCTAATGACACTGAACCTGAGATCAGGGATGGGTGGAGAGCAAGGAGAGGAGGAGGCCATCGCCTTCATGGGGAACAAGGACAGGTCTGCCCCAGGGACCAAGAACTTTGGTKGAAACTTAACTTCCGTCTCCCTGACTCATTCATTTCCGGAGCCTCTCTGCCAACACCTGATCTGCCCRCAGGGCTTCTGGAAGGTTAGGGGTACATACTGGTTGCCCAGTGCCCACAGAAAATAGCAGAGACTGAAGAAGAAAGGAGGGAGGCAGGGGCAGTGCTGGTGTACTGCTGAGAGGCTCGGCGGAGAGTCAACCTCATGGAGATGGACACTGACCATGGCCATGGCACAGGGTGGTGATGGCCTCCAGGCAGCTGGGGGTGCCATGCCCTGGTCTCCCACCCCAGGCACTAGCCTTCACCATAGAAACTGTCCACCCTGCTGCAGAAGCTGTCTGTGTATCTGTCCACTGCTGGATGGGAAACCCTAGAGGACAGGGGCCAAGGCTCTGCTTGTTGATTCCCTGGGTTCCCCCATGGCCCATGGCACATAATAGATGCTTGGTCAGTGTTTGCTGATAAAGGATGCTGGATGAAATACGATTATGCTTTTTGTGCCTTCCGTCATGAAGACTGAGGTGCTGGTTTGTTGTACGTTTTACAAATCGGTAGCACTTTTGAGGATCTGACTGGGGAAAGTACATATGCACCTGAGAGTTGGACAGACRGAAGCCCTCTAGGACAAAGCCTGCATTTGCTCTTCTGATGAGGGTGACTTGCACATTCCTGGAGGCCAGTGCCACTCTGACACTTCCTCCCACTCTCAGCCTGTGTCTGCAGGAAGGCAGATGAGACAGCCCACCTATAGCCTAGGGCTTGGGGACCCACAGGACAAGGACWCTGTGACCTGCACCCTACCTTCAGTCTTTTGTGTGCCTCTGAGGTGGGAACCAAGAGGCAGCATCAGGGGTTCAGTTGCAGAGCCAATGGCTGTGTGYGTGTGTGTCTGCCTTTGTGCAAGAGCATGTGTGAGTAGGTGTGAGGTTAATGTGTGACTGAGGGTAGAGTGTGAGTGTGTGTGAGCAGGAGGGCAGGTGAGTGTGCCCAGTGTGTGTACATGTGAGTGTGTGGGGGTGTTTGTACAGCATTCCCTGTCTAAGTGTATGTGCAAAGGAGGACACACTGTGGGTGCACCAAGGAGCCCAGGTCAGTAGAGTGGGCAAGGCTTCCGGCCTGAGTCTCACCAAGGTGGCTCAGTCCTGTGGATGAAAGAGCCTCAGCAGGCCCCAAAGCCMAAATCCTGCCTCGGCCCATCTGCACTATGGGAGTGAGGAGCCCATCCCCTTCCTTGTAAGTCAGGGCTCCCCAGATCAGATCCTGCGGGGACAGGCAGGACTGAGATGGAAAGGGAAGATTCTGGAAGCCAGGAGGAGTACGATGGTTGGTTCTCTTCTGCCTGGGAACACTCTACTGCTGCTTTTCTCTCAATCTCCTCCAGAAACAAATCTCTTGACCTCCCAGTGCTGGTGGTGGCCCCTGCCACCTGCTTTTGCCAATTGTTCTCATTTCTCTTGGTGGGGGGGCATTGCTCCCCAGCTTCCCCTCCAGGTTTTAGGCTAGAGGGTCACAGCTACGTGTTTTGTTTTGTCTTTTCTGATCGTATGGGAAATGCTAAAAGACTACACAAGGAATCTTCGAAGCTCAGAGCAAGGCAAATTAGATGAGAAGATGCTTAAGGGAAAGGCCATTTTGAGGGTGACATGATCTGTAAGCCCAGACTCCTACCTGGTGACAACTGTGTTCTGGTCAATCCTTGCTTTAAGGTCTTCATTCTGTTGTTGGAGGACTTGGATCTTTTCTTCCAGAATAATGTTCTTTTCTGCCTATAATGGAGACAGTATATAAGACATTTTCAGCAAGGTATGCAATAAACCAGTACCCGCTGCTTCTGGGCATTGGAGAATTATCAAGAGCAGAATTTTGCAAACTGCCCTTTACAATGCACTTGTGGGTTGTAAAATCAGGTTAGAGGGATGTGATCAGCATTTTTGTTTTAAATAAAATAAAACAGAGTAGAAAATGCCAGAATATGTAGTAAAAGTAAGCACTGTTGTCTGTGTTGTGGATATAGATTTTTTTATTTTGTATATATTATGTATATATGTGTACTGGGCTCTGTGTMAATATATTTCTTAGAGTGAGTGTCCCAGGCTACTGTCATTGTCAAATACAAATGGTGGCTAGCACTAGGACCTAATGTGACCAGTGGGTCTTAGAGTTCTTCCCAAAGGGTCAACTCTACTGCATCAGTGTCCCTGGCCAGGTAGGCACACACTATCCCATAGAGACTCTTGTGAATTCATGGAAGTACTCATTTCCGAAATGAGAAGTGGTGCCTGCCTGCAGAGAGCAGGAACACGGTTCAGGACAGACTAACCCCATGGCTGGTGCATGGCCCAGGGCAGACAACCCAGCCCGGAGGAGGAAGATGGCTGTTGTCCCCACACAAGCCAGGCCACACAGCAGCAGCAGGAGTGGGAAAACAAATGCATTGCACGGCACTGGGCACACTGAGCATCGTGATAGATGCTCCTTCGTGCTGGCTCACCAGTCACACATCCTTCAGGGCTGAGGGAGGACCTGGCACTTACACAGGAAACCCAGAGTAGAGAAGAGACAGGCAACGAGGAAGCCACAGAGATGGACAAAGTCAGGCCACCWCTGCGACTCCTCATCAGAACCCCGGGCCTCCAGAGAATGGCCTCTGGGCTCAGCTATGGAATTTCCTGCTCACATGTGAACAATAGGCACGGAAGGGGCACGTCTGGCTGAACACTGTCAATGCTGAGGACATAGATGACAATGGCAGGAAAATCACAGCAGTTTGTCTCCCGAGCAAGTCACCAACTCACCAGCTTTTCCAGCTCAATAATCTTCTTTTCCTGCTGGTGTATCTGCTGATTCTTCATCTCTAACACCTGCCTCAGGCTCTTCATGTCTTCCTCCAAGTGCTGATAAGGGGCCAGTGCAATCTACAGGGGCAAAGAGCCAGGAGCTGTTGGCCAGGGTCCCCAGCAAAACCTAGCATGACCCTAGGCTGTGAATCCAGCTAGAAGTGGCCTGTAACAAGCTCTCTGGTGGGCGGCTGCAGCACCAGCCAGAGAGCCAGGAGGCTCACAGCCTCCCCAGATAAGGTGCCCTGCTAGCTTCTCGCTGTGAACTCTCATGCAAACCCAGCTCTGGGTGGTGGGGAGCTGTGAGACACGGCCATCGTTCACTAAAAAATCTGGATACTAGATTGGCTGGATGCTGCCACCACCCCCAGAAGGAGACTCATGGGGCAAAAAGAATCCAATGCTGCCTTTGAACATGCTCCTAGACACCTTGATTCACCAGGCAACCGGGGACCTTGTGGATGCCACGTGAGCCCATGGCGAGGTCTTGCCCTCATACATGGGAAGAAACCAAAGTGGCTTAAAGAGCAGAAAAGTCATTTAAGAAAAAGACATGTTAGAGCAGGGTTCAGGGAGGCAAGCAATAAAAACCCAGGACAACTGCAAAATCGGAATTTCAGACAAACAACATRAAAAAACATTCTAGTGTATTTCATGGGAGATACTTATCTTCAAAACATCACCTACCTTCGTTCAGATTCAACTGGGTGCTGTGCATTTCTCCTGTCAGCACTACACTAGAGGGAAGGGGGTTTCTAGGTTTTCTGGAAAAAGCTTCCCTCGATTCATGCCTCAGCTGGTGTCCTGGGGCCAGCCTCAAGAGGCTTGGGGTGGAGTGTCTAGACTGTTCCTCTCACAGGAGCCTGGGGACCCTGCCTGGGGGGTGCTTTGGGATTTGGTAAAAGATGACAGGTTGATGGAGAAGCACACAGCTGTGGCCTGTCTCAGGGGACAGGCACTGGCAGGCATTGTTTAAGCCTCCCAAGGAGGTCGTGATCAGCTGTCACTTTGGCAGCAGATCAGCACAGAAGCCTTATCCTTGGGCTGGACACCAGGCCTCCCAGGTGCTGGGAGCCTGGACAGCAGTGACTACCTCCAGCTGCTCTTCGGTGTTTTTCCTCAAAGCCTCCTCGAAGCGATGGGCTCGGTCCCGCAGAGACTGGCTCTGGAAGGTCAGTGTGTCCACCTGGTCCTGCAAGTAAATAACGTCCCTGTGCAGTTAGTCTGTCGCAAAGCATTGTTCTCAGTTATAAAGCTGAAGCTGGAAACCTTCGCACCCTCCTCGGCTTCCTTCTCTGCCCTGAGACCCCTCCCACCACCRCCRCCAAGACCTCTAAWTACCAAATCAACAATCAGCAARTYCRGCCTATTCATGTCCCCGGACCCATGACCTCCGCCATTCCTGCTCCCTCCACCCAGGCTCAGGCACCTCGGTGGCTCCTTCCTCACCCCAGCACTCCTTGGTTGCTCTCTGGCCTGCAGGCCACAGCCAGGCTGCTCTTGTAGCGCGCAGACCTGAACCTGCCGTCCCACTGGCTGCACCTCCACTGTCCTCCAGGTGAATGCACCTTCCTCATACAGCATCAGAGCCAGCCGGGGTCTCGACCTCACATTCCACCTTCCCCAGTTCCGGCACCTTCCTCTGCCCGTTCCCTCTCATCCCCTCCTCAGTTCTGGGCCCCAGCTGACCTTCTGGGCTCAGGGCTGGGTCGCAGGTCCCCAGTAGAAGTCACTCTATGAGCCGAGCCACCCAGCATGTCCTACCTTCTCCCCACTAGAGTGACACTCCCAGTCCCCAGCACATGCCAGCCACAGGCGGCTTTCTATGTATACAATGAAGGAACAAAGGTGTGTTTGAGGAGTCACTGAGCCCCTTCCCCAGCTCCCAGGGCAGAGGAAACTACACTGACCCCTCCCCACCCAGCCTCAGCTGTGGACCTCATCACCAAGGAGTGAAGGACGCTGGACAGTGACTTTCTTATGATGCCTCATTCTTCTGGCTCACTCCAGCTGAGTATTCCAAAGTCCTCCACCCCAGGACTCCATTTCTGTACTATTAAAGCACAGAGACTAGGGTCTCCCATGAACTGCTCTGGCAAGAGAAACAGCCTCATGCCACCAACTAGTAGGAGCAGGGCACTTTAAATTCTGTGACTCCACACAGGGACTCTAGTGTCAAGGTCTGCTTCCTTCCTTCATCCTGGCAGATGCTCTGGTTTGCAAACATCCCTGGGYGGGTTCCTTTTTCCTCTTTCTTTCCTTTTTTCTTTCTTCCAGTTACTTGCATTTCCTTTTGAAGAAAGTCCCCACGGTACCATTAAATGCAAATGCTCGTACATGAGGGCAATAGAGTTGTCAGTGGGAGTTTGTATGCACTTGACAAGCGCAGGGAAATCGCCTCCACTGAGGGCGGCCCCGCGGGGCTCAGCGCAGGTCCACTGTGCTGCTGCGGCTGCCTTCCAGAATGTGCCTATAAAAATGTCTGCATGGCCACCTGAGGCTCACCCCACACCTTGTCAGAGCTGTCCAAGGAAGCATTTCCTTTCACCTCTTCCTCATCAYTAAAACGCCAAACATCAGACAATTACCACCCAGGATGGATCTAAAATACCAAACCGATTTTTCTGACTTGTTCACCATTATTCAAAACAGACCCACAGGGACAGAACAGTGCTGCAGTAATCAGACAAGACAGGCTGATTCTCAACTTGGGTTTGCTACTTTATGTCAGGCTGAGACACAAAGACCCAGCTGGTGGCCCTACCCAGCATGGACCACTCACAAGTCAACAGATGGCATGATAACAATAGTGATGATAATCATAAATGTCACAGCGGTTGCAGCTATTGTCATAGCAAGAGCTGCTACTTATTAGCACTYGGCACAAGCCAAGGTAGTGCTACTCACTTTCCACACATTATTTCCCTTAATCTGCCCACATGTTGAGAGAGGTACCGCTGTCATCCCCATTTCACACGAGAGTAAACTAACATTTACAGAAGTTAYGTAATTGTCAAAGACCTCAAAGCTAGTAAAGACAGGCCAGAAAAGTCTTAAACCCAAAGCTCAAAATCTGTAACTGCCCAAACTAGCTATTTCTCTAGCAGCCAGTAGCCCAAGGAAGTTGGCTGTAGCTATTCCATACACCTTGTACTAAATCATCTTCAGATGGATTATGCTGAGGGAAGAGCTATGACCAAAATATGCAGAATTTATGACCATTTGATGTTAGTGGCAGAGGAAAGATGAAATGATGAAACAAAACTGTGTCCCTGTGCATGTTTGTGTGTGTGTGTGTGTGTGTGTGTGTGTGTGTGTGTGTGTTGCTGGGGATGGAACCCAGGGCCCTGCGCATGTGAGGCAAGCTCTATCACTGAGCTACACCCACACCCCCTAAAGTTTTCCAATAGTGCACTCCATAGCTGGGACACTGGTATCTCCACAACCCTGGGTGCTTTGCTTTTCTGGGCAGGGGAGCATCTATACAATGTATACTGCCAGGGAAAAGGGACCCCACATGGAAGAAGCAAAATTCCTGCTTATATATTAGTTATGGGAATCATCTTCTGTGATTTCTAGGTACAAGTGTCCCTAATATTTAGAAAAATAATCTTTTTATGGTCAGTCTTTCTACACTTGGAAATGAAACTGGTTCCCCTAACCCACTGCCCTGCCCCTGCCCCTGCCCCTTGCTTGCGTGGCAGCAATTCCTTAGGGCTGGGACTGTCACTGGCCTCTCACAGAAGCAGCTGGCCTGGGCCTCTGGAAGGTAGAAGGGAGGTGCATGTGACCTGGGAGACCTGCTGTTCCCCTGGAGACCMACGGGAAGCCAGGCAGCTTCTCTGGCATTTGAGACATTCTCTTTAGGAGGCAGTAAGGGGCAGAAGGGGCATTTTTCATCTCRCCGACCTCCAGGTGACTGAAGTCCCTTTTAAAATACCCAGAGTGTAATCCATGAATCAACCTTGCAGCTCCCCTTGCACCACTGCCCCTGCCTAGAACGTTCTCTTCCTTGAATGCACCTGTTCTTCAAACACAGCTTAGTTACCCATCTGGCTCCAGCTACAGCACTTCTGTGGCGCTCACTGACGGTGCTCCTCATTTGGAGCAATTATGTGTTACCTTTTGTGGCTGTCTGATACTATTTGTGTCACAGCTCTCTYACCACCAATTCCTAAAGGGCTGGGAATATGTCTTATTTAGCTGTATATTCTCGTGTTTAAATCAGGATCTAGTATTTCGTTGGTGCTGGATAAATGTTTGTGAGTAGAAATGCTGCAGCTGCTGCTCCTGCTGCGTTGGTGTCAGTTAAGAAGATCAAGGAAACACTAACCTGTAATGACAGCCGCAGCTTTTCAAAATTTTCTTCTAATTCCTTTTTCTCAAGTTCATGGGTAGATATCAATTCTGGAGTGAAGACATTGTTGATATCAAATTATTACATTGGTTTTTCTTTTGAAAAGGATAAAACAAGGCTCYGGGCCAAATAACTTTAGGTAAATAAATAAATCCTGGATATAACAGATTTAAGGCTAAAGAGTCCGTTACTCCAGCTGGTAGGTGATGACCAGGTTGCAATGTAAAAGWAATAGAGCAGGAAGGAAGGAGGGGCAGGAGAGAAGAAAGGGGGAGAGGAAAGAGGGGGAATCAGAGCACAGCACATGTATGCACTTGTGCTCTCGCACAGGTCCACATCCATGTCCACATACACACGTGCATACGTATACACACACACACACACACACGCACACGCACACACGCACACACGCACACCCTGTCTGCATCCTGTGGCACAACCAGCCGGGCCAGGTCAGATCCTTTGTTGCCAGTGCTCATCAATCCTTTCACTTTTCCTAATGGTAAAACAACTGGGTACTTCACATTAGAAGCCCATTTTCTCCCCATCACATTTCTGGGGCCTGGGGAAGGAGCTTTCCAAGGACAGTGGTCCTGCAGAATAGCTGTCCTGYCAGCCTTGCTGGAGAATGCACGGCGTGGATGGGACCTGTGCTGGGTCTACAAGGACCCTTTGGTGGCCTCTGGGCCATACTCAGAACTACAGACCCTGAGAATTTGCTTGAGCCAAGATCCAGTGTGAAGTACTTGGTCAGAATGAAAGACGAATCAAACTGGTTCCTCTTGGAGGGTTTGCAGCAATTCTGTTCCATGAAATGTGTCATCCCAGAAGTAATTTGCAAGTTAGGCAGAAAGAAATGTCATGTAGGAGTTATTAAGCAAATGGATTCTATTTTCCTCCAGATGGGAAGAGTCTTATTAGCTGGGTGAAGCCCATTTCATTCTGGCTATACAAGCAATTTGTTTTCATGTTAATAACAAGAGAGAGGAAAGGTCATTAATCAGACCGGATCATATGCTTAGAATAGGTGAGTACTGGAGACCAGCAATTACCATTTTGGCTGGCATGAACTGCAATTAGGAAAAACTCTGTGGTTTCCATTGATCCAAATCTTTTAACTAGTTCTGTAAGGGTTGCTAAGAAATCCAGTTGCCATAGCTGAAATTTGCATTTAGGGGGAAAAAAAAGAGTTTATGCTGATTTCTCTGACATAAAACCAAGTAGCCTTCTGGTCTCCCTGCTTTTGTGTAAATGATTAGTTTTAAGAGTCATTGAGGCTCTACTTGGTGTACAACCAGAGAGATGAAAAATTGCATATGAATAATCTGTAATGTGTATGTGTAGTATGAATTGTAATGCATTCTGCTGTCATATATAATAAATTAAAATTTAAAAAAGAGGCATTGAGGGCATCATTCTAAGCATAATAATGATTATTTTAGCTCTTATTATATATACCCTCATTGTCTTCACATTAGATAATTCAAAGGCCTTGGATGTGATGTTTAAATAAGACTTCATTTGTGAGAAAAAAATCTACCAGGTTTATTTATGTGAAATCCACAAACAAAAGACAACATAATATCATCGATTAGCACACCATTTGCATTCGGATTTCCTTTCCTGAGATCAGGTTTCTATGGTGCGATGATGGACATTTTCAGATGACCCTAAAACCCCAGGGGAAAGGGAAATCCAGCATCTACTCTGAAGATGACCCAAACATTGCTTCTTACATAATATGTGTTCCCATAATGTAGTTCTTTATTTCACGACAATCTGTCCTATGTAAACACTGTGCTCTAGAACAATGGTTCTCAAATCTTGCTGCCTGTTAGAATCACCTGAGGAGTTTTAGGAAATCCTGATGCGGAACCTAATAGCAATTACATTGGAATCTCTGAGGGGATTGGATGTGTTGTTTGTTTTAACTCTCCAAGTTGTTCTAATGTRCAGTCAACCATAGGGACTAGTACTCCAAGGACACAGGTAATATATTTAACTAGTTCTCGGAAAATAATTCTTTCTTGCCTCCAGCGTGGACTTTTTCACTTACTAATAGTTCCCAGAGGTGGTGGGGCTGGCACTTGAGGGAGGTAATAACACGAAATGGATTACTGCACTGTGGGTTTTGTTGTTTACTAAGAATATGTTAATAATAAAAACTTCTGGTGTTCATTCTCAGATTTTAAAAACATTATTAATCCATTGTTAAATTTCATTGTTTTTAATATATACTTTTAACAACCAGCTCTACTGAGGGAAAAATTAAAAGACAGGGAAATTAAAAAAACGTAAGTTGCATATATTAATATAAATGCATTTGAAAGTGTAAAAAGCTTCTTATTTCCCAAAGGAAAATCCAAGTAGAATCTACTAATGTTGTTTTTATGGCTTGCATAAAACCTTATCCAAATTACATTCATCTGTTTTTTGTTACTCTAATGAAATACCTGAGGCAGGTTTCTTTTATAAAGAAAAAGAAAGTTTTCTGTGACTCTCAGTTCAGAAGATTTAAGGGCAAGGGGCTAACATCAGCTCAGATCTAGTGCAGGACTCATGGTGGGAGAATGCTATAGCATCTTGAGTGTCCCCTAAAGATCCATGTGTTAAATGCTTRGTCACCAGGCTGGTGGTGGCTAAATCTTTAAAAAGTAGGGCCCAGTCAGAGGTCTTTAGATATTGGGGATATGTCCTACAAGGAGATTGGGAGACGCTTGCCCTCTTCTCCTTCTCCTTTGCTTCCTGGCCATGAGGCAAGTGATTTTGCTCTGCCACACACTCCCATGATGGACTGCCTCACCACAGGCACCCAAAAATGAGGCTAATTGATCTGGATTGCCACCTTTAAAACTCTGACCTGAAACAAAACTTCTCTCTCTTTAAGTTAATTATTTCAGGTAGTTTGTTATAGTGACAGAAAGTTGGACTAACACAGAGTACCAGAAGAAGGAGATCACCTCATCGAACAGAAAAATCAGGGTGACTGGGGCCCCACAATCCCTTCTGCAGGCGCATCTCCAATGATCTAAGGACCTCTCACGAGGTGCCACCTCTTCAAGATTCTATTATCCCTTCTATTGCTACACTGGGGACCAAGCCTCTATCACACAAATAAGCCACAACCAAACCACAACACAAAGATAATTCATTTGCAAAAATGTTGAAATAAAGATCTGGGGACTCAACTTATCTATATGGTGGATAGGGACAAGGAGGACAAACTCAGGAGATGGTCCTGAGATTCGCCACACGTGTGGGAAAAGTGCACCCTCATTGGCATTTCCACTTGGTTTTATAAGACCACATCACACGAGGAAGCCCAGGATTTCTTTGCCTGCTTCAGAAGAGTGGTCCTCAAGTCAGGCTTCATATTAGACTCACCTAAGGAACCATAAGACATCCTGACGCCCTTGCCACAACCCAGAACAACTAAATCAGGTTCCTGGGTGTGGGAACAAAGCTGACATGTGTTTTTGTTATAGCTCCCCAGGGGATTTCAGTATTTAGGCAAGGTTAAGAAAATCTGCTCTGGAATAGAGAAATTACCTACATCCTCCACCCCCCCATCCCCCCGCCCAGTGCTAGCGATCAAACCCAGAGCATCATGCATGCTAGGCAAGTGCTCTACCACTGGTGGACATCCCCACCCCTACCTGAATCCTTCATTTCTATTTCCTCTTTTTACAGGAAYCAACACAAAGGATGCACCAGGAAGAAGAAGAAGGAGAGAAGGGCTCTTGCTTGGCTTGCACAGCTCCCCGCTCTCTGCTGCATACAAGGCTGGTAGGTACCTTGGACTTTGTGGTCATGGTCATCCTGCAGAATCGCGATGGCAACCGTGTGGTTATTTTCCATCTCCAGAAGAGCAGCCTCATGGCTGGCGGTGATATCTTCCACCTGAAGAGGAGTCACAATACTGGTTACCAGGGAGGTGGGCAGTGGTTGGGAGGTGAGCAGAGGTTCGATTCAAGGAGAAGAAAAGGCCAGTGGCCCTGGACATCAGGTGACAGTCACCCTCAGCCTGGTGCCAAGGGAGAGTCAGGATTTGCTGGAGATGTGGCAGTTCCCAGAGTCATGGGGGAGTCACTGCTATAATCTGGCGGTTGGAAGAAAGATGGCGGCTCCACTTGGTGATGGCTACCTCATCCACTTCTTCAGAGCCCTGGTCTGGTTTCTCTTCCCACTCCTATCCCTTCCTTTTGCTCCACTCTATGAGATAAGGATGGAAAAAGAAAAGAAAAGCATCCTCCCTTCAAAATGGAGGGAAGGAACATTTACTAAGCTACTTGACTTGGGTTATTCCACTTAACCCTCAGAGCAACTTTATAAATCAATATTTTAATGCACTTTTTACAGATGAGGAACCAGAGGCTTAGAGAGGTATAAAATATTTTGTCCAAGGCTAGTGAATGGCGGAGCTCACAGCAGGGTCCAGGTCTGCCTGACCCCCAAGGTGAAGTTCTCTCAAACACAMCACTGTGGCCTCTACCCAAGCCAGACCAACAAGTAACATTTAGATCCCTTCATCAATGCCTAGATGAGGCCAACAGACTTACATGTGTTTGCAAGTTCCTAAACATAAGCTTGTCCCCTCTCCCCAGGTGACAATGTGCAGGCAGTCAGGACTTTTGATTTTCACATTTCCTGTTTCTTCTACCCCACCAATTCCTACCCATCATCTTGCCTATCATGTTCACTGATGTTGTGTTTYTTAATCATGGGTATGGTTTTGTTTAACTTCAAATGTAAGACTTACTGGAGTAATGGCATAAAACAACCTCTCCCTAGGATAGCAAATCTCTCCTGGACATAGCATACCATATGATGTTCATCTAAATTTTTTGAGAGTGACCCACTGCAAAAAAAAAAAAAAATTCCACCACGGACTGCAACACAGCACACATGTACATACATGCATGCACGACTCCATATATGAAACCAAACTGTCATAAGATAATACTTCTCCTGGAACTTACAATAATTTGGTTTTAAAACTTTTATTCTATTTTACAGAATGCTAGTTAAAAGCCATTAAACTTATTTCATGACCTAGGAATGTATGAAAACCTGCCATTTGAAAACCAGAATCAGACAATGTGTCTGGGTCCTGAAGCACTTAGGTGGACTGATTAGGAACCCATTGCTTCTCTCTGGTAATATTCAGCCACCTCTGCAAGAATCTCATTTCTCTGGGGGATAATTCTTATAATTTCTTCTGTGATCTAAAAGGAGGAAGGGCTCTTTACAAGAAGGAAAGCCTGCTTACCAACCCATGAGAGAATTTTCATTTAAAAATGGCTAGATTCCCATTGTGGATCATATAATTTTATGGGAAAAATTTCCTGACTTTCCYCTTAAGGTAAATGAGATTTTTATTCTCTAAAATGGGAATAATCATTGGATAAAAGCAATAATGGAACCCACAGAATTACCTAGGAAAGCTATATCTCATCGTGAAAATGAACTTGTTACGCCACAATTCACTCTTATTTAYTGGACATTCTTGATTAAACAATATTTTACTTGAGGCTCAGAGCTATGAATCCACTCAGCAGAAAGGCTGATTACAATGGTATTTAATTGTCCAATTCCTGTTTATATGAGGTTTTAATGGAATCTTTGTCCAAAGCCTTTCAGCCTGTTGGAAAAATAAATCAATGGTTAAATAAAAGGACAAGGAAATATCATTTCTTTCTGCTCAATTACAGATGTCAGTTAAACACACAGTATATTCTCCTCTCTTTAGAAACAAGTACCCACACATTATCTGGAGATGTTACAGAGTTCAGTATATAAATGAAAAATCTTTCATTGGTTCTCACTATGATTCCAAGTCACTGAGCTTTTACGTAAACCACCAGGTTTCAGAAAGACGGAAGGACTAAGTTCCAGAAGAATCCATGTGTCCTTGGAGGTGGACATGTCCCACTTGGCAATACCACATTCTGTTTGTGACTAAAATGAATGCCTTTATGGTTTGTTGGAAGACGCGTCTTTGATTGAGTTGTGATGGAAATCCCCATCCAACATATTAGGATGGTGTAAGGGCATGATATACCCAATGCTGACGCTAGGAGGTGCTTTTATGAATGAAATACTGATCGCCTAAGTCTAAAAGTCCATATGGAATTAGAGGGATGACCAGTATATTTGGAGGGAAACCAGTGACATCCTGTGAGCCCAAAGTCAAACACAATAATCCTCGCTCTTCGGCAATTTTTATGCACCTTTTAAAGGAATGTTTATGGTTTTTAAGGAACGTTCCCTCAACGAGGAAGAGATGCTATCCACTATGGGCTATCCCCTCTCCTTCCATGGTTTAAATCACTTTGACTTCTCTTCCTATGGCTCCTGGTTCTTTTCTTTCTTTCTTTCTTTCTTTCTTTCTTTCTTTCTTTCTTTCTTTCTTTCTTTCTTTCTTTCTTTCTTTCTTTTAATTTTAATTTTTTTATAGTTGCAGAGAGACAGCATGCTTTTATTTCATTTGTTTATTTTTATGTGGTGCCGAGGATTGAACCCAGTGCCTCACAGGAGGGCAGCAAGTGCTCTGCTACAGCCCCAGCCCCTCCTGGTTCTCTTCTAGATGACCGGCTCACAGTTATGAAGCAGCCAGTAAGAGTCCCCGTGTGAGAAGACCCTGAAACCCTCTGAAGGTATTTGAGCAGATTTAGAGAAGTGGGCCAACGGAAACACAAGATGACCTACACATTGTAAATCAGGGGAACAGAGACAAAGGCACTCAACCATTGCCAGCCTACAGCAAGCTTCCTCTGACTGAAGCATCCTTCTCTTTTAGTTAGAACAGTTGGTACAGCCCCCATTAAACCACTGCTGGCCCACCTTCTGCTTTCCTCCACAAAGATGGCGCTCTGGACTGCGCCCTGTAGGAGTCTGTCAATTTTCCCATCAAATAGCCCTGCTTGTTCTGAAAACCAGCTATTCCCTGTGACGTGACTCCATTCCCCCTGCCCCTTGCTATTCAGCTGGGCTGGTTAAAATAGAGCCAAGGGTTGGAAAGCCACCCTGTGCAGTTTACTTCATTTAGCCATTTGCAAAATTTAATTATCTGGGACTTTGGCAATTCACTTAGAGAAGACTTACATTTCAAATAAAGAAGCACGTGCTCTATATTATCTGGGCTTTTATTACTAAACAAAACCAGATTAAACTCCCACTGGTCCTCCTCCCAGACATGTCTCATACTGGAGGAGACAGAGGACGCTGGCTTATGCCTACTTTCTCTGGTGCTCTGCTGATGACTTTCCTTTGCCTGATTACTAGAAGACCCTCCTTCACTCTTTCCCTGCTATCATCAGCTCAGAGCAGGTGGCTAGCCATGCGGAGGCTCCCAGTCCCACTCTATCCCTCTGCCTTTTGCCCTCTCTACAGCCCACCCCATGGGCAGGTGTCTACAGAGGTTCCATCTCCCCTGCAGAGCCTCCTCCTAGCACAGGGAGCTCTAGTGCTGGATGCTGGGGAAGTGAGGCCCCCTGGGATCTCATTCTATTTGATTATAGAGAATGTGGTTTCCTCTGCACGGCAGCTGGGAGCCTGCTGGACAGGCGGGTTAAGGAGACCATAATGCAACATGATAGACAAAGTGGTGTCTGCGTTCAGAGGAATCATAGGGATGCTGTTCCTGCCATTTAGTCTAAAAGGATGATTTAATTAAGAAAGGGTAGGACAGATGTCCTGGATTTGAGATGAAGCAAATTTCAACTCCAAAGGATGAGCCCTTCTCAAGGAGAAGGAATCTTTGCAAACTCCACAGTGCATCCAGGAACAAGCAGTCCCCAAAGCGAGTGCCTTGGGGCAGCTTGCAATAGAAGACAAACTGTCCAAGGGTCCTGGGGGACAGGCAAATGTCACGAGTTTCATTCTTGAATACAGGCTCTGGAGAACAACTAAAGGTGGCCCAGTATGGAGCACCAGAAGCTGGGTGGAGAAGTGACAATGTGTGGTGCAAAAAGAGAAAACACACGTGTTTACAGTGAAAATCTGGTTTGCATGCTTCGAGAATGGGAATCTGTGGCATTGTGGCCTCTGTTGCTATAGAACCCATTCTATCTGATTTTAATTAAACACCTTTACCACCAGACTTTAGAGTTCTAAGCCAGGTGTGGTGGATCACATATGTAATCCCAGTGATTTAGGAGGCTGAGGGGAAGATCGAAAGTTCRAAGCCATCCTTAGCAACTTTAGTGAGACTCTGTCTCAAAATAAGAAATAAAAACAACTGGGGTGTAGCTCAATGGTAGAATTCAATCCCCAGTACCAAAAAATAAAGTAAAATCCCCGTCATATATTTAAAGTCAATTTAAAAAGCCAAGATACAAGGTCCTGCCCCATCTCTGCCCAAATGGTCAGGCCCCTAACACATGCTAGGCTGAGGAAGAAGATCTGTTTTTCCTCAGAACAAATGCCACTGTACACAGGAAATCTCCTGGGGATCCAAAGCAGCCCCCAGTGAGACCCCAGGCAGCAAGTCCAATTCAAAGGGTATGAATGTTCTTCAAGTCATTCAGCTGATTTCCATGTGTCTCCAGAGCAGAGACCCTGGCCAGGGAGACAGTACTTGCCCCTTGAGATAGTGGATGGCTAAGCTAGGAGGAGATTCGGCTGCTTTTGTCGTGGAGAGATCCTATGGTGAAGCCAGAGGTCAGCCTGCCTTGGTGAGCAAGTCCCAACATCAGTAAATTCCAAAGCCTCAGAAAATCCTACAGGTTGGAACTGAGGCAGGCCCCTGCCCTGTGCTACTGGCCTTAGGGACACTGGATTTTGTGGAGAGGCCAGACTGGGTAACCTGATTTTTAAAGGCTCCAGAAGGACAGAGATGCCATTATCCATGGGGTCAGCATTGCCACATGTGACTGTCCGTGAGAAGGAAGATCCAAGGTGGAGAGTCCAGCCTGGAGTGACTGAGTCTCCACCTCAGTTATCCACTGGGTCTCCCCTCCCACGGGACCAATGAGCATTTAATCTGCCTGGAAATCCAAGTCTTGAGCTGATGTGCATTTCCTCTTCTTCCTCTCCTCTTGAATGTTCTTCTGCAGAAGCTGAAGATCATAGAAACAGCCATTTGGCAGGAAGAGCAGAACCAGGGGCTTAAATCATTCATAGACTTGAATCACTGTTTCCCCCAGGCTCTGGGTCCCTGTTGGGAGGTTTCCCTCACTCATAGAGCATGCAGGTGGTGTTTCCACCATCCACTTCCCCTTGTCCTCAGAGTGGACCGTCAACTGTCCATGCCTGAACATATCACCTGTGTTCTTCACCCTATCCCACTGTTCCTTGGGTACTTGTCCTTGAAATGCCCCTATGAAATAAGCAAGCTCACATTTTATGAATCTTTGTATCTCTTGCTAAACCCTGTCATGGTGTTCTGCATACAGTGGGCACTCAAATACTTTTTGCATAGGAGAATAAGTAAATAAATGGTTTTAACTCTCATAAAGGATCAAGTAGAATAGAACCAGTGCCCCCATAAGACTGARCACTTTTAAAATAGACATAGGTAGCTAATGCAACTCATTCTCAAATGCAGAAGTGAAGGGCTTTTTTTTCCTTTCAATTCCTTCCAGTTTGAAATCTCCAAAAGGTTGTTGAAACCCAGCTTAATGAACAGGTCTTGGTGTGTGCATAGAGAGGACCTGACCCCAGGCTGCCTCTGCCGGTGGAAAATGTTTCACTGGGTAGTGGCCCTGGCAATGTGGCATCACTATGCCAGCCCTCGTCCCAGGGGTTCCCCTTGCAGCTGACCACCTCCTGCCTACCTCCAACTTTTGGCATCTTCTCAACGGCCCCAGATCAGAAGCTTTTGGGAAACACAGTTACAAACACATTCTCTGTTTAACAGTGAGATGAATAGCCCAGGGATGGAGACACAGGACAAGCTGATATTTGCAACAGGTTTGAGGCCTCCATTTACACCAAGGAGCCATGAAAGAGGTGAGATCAGGGACTGTAGCAGGTGCTCAGTCTACGTCCAGCAGTTGCACTCAGACAGCTTGAGCAGCAAGATGCCAAGGCTTCAGTTTCCACTTTTAGCATCAGCAGGTAACTTAAGCTTCGACCTCTTCTATGTCCTAGACTTAAGTCTAAATACCTCAAGCAGGGAGGTGCTGCTGTATTTCACTGGCCTCTAGAAAAGGAGAATGACTAACCTGAGATGCTTGCTATATCTAAAAGATACTGTGAAGCAAGAGATTCTTTTTTACAGTAATGGTACTTACTATTATTCTAATACTTCTCCTATGCTTCCCAGCATTCCCAAGCCTCTGGGGCAGCAGGAGGTGGTGCATGGTATTGCCATCTGGGCTGTCTATTTGGAAGTGACCTTGGAAGACAGCTGCAAAGTTCATGATAATGAAGGGCCATGAAGCACTACCCTGAGTGTCACTGAGATTTAAAGGGCATCTTCATGAATGTCAGTTTCCTTGGGTGTATGATGAGCAGAACACATAAAATAATCACCAATTAGAAGGTGGGTCTCAAGGTGTCTGAGCTTGGGAACGTGAAAGAAGAGAAAATCACCGTGCAGTTTTTGCGGAGGGAGATCTGTTGGAGTCTGGGTTCCACTTGTSTCTCTCATCAGCGCTCTTGGCAGTAATGGCCGTGGGGTGGGCACATCTGGCTCCTGCCCACTTTTCACATTGACAGGCCCCCGAGGAATCACTCCCTCATTATTCTACGGATGAATTTCCCTGTCCAGACAGATAGCCGGGCTAAGGCTAACTCCTGGAGCTCATTATTTCATTCCACAAGCACACGTTCTGTGCCTACTTTTGACAGGCACAGTTCCAGGTGTGGAGATCTAGAGAAAACCTGGCAGACCATTCTAAGTTAGTGATTGGCAGCATGGACTCTGGAGTCAGTCAGAATTCCACTGTGGCTTTCCTAGGGACAGCTCTGAATCCCAACAGCTTATTAACTTAGCTGCAGGGACCCAGTTATTTCACCTGCAAAATGGGGCTAACTATAGTCCCTACCAGGTAGGGTGATGGTGAGGATTCCATGAGCTGCTGTATATAAAGAGTTAAAAGCAAACCAGGGCTAAATATGCATTTGCCTGTTATCATCTCTGCCCGCACAGAATATGCAGATAATAAATAAGGGACAAAAGAAACATTTATAATATGTCAGACTAAAGCAGAGGCGGTGGGACAGGAAATATCTGCGTGTCACGTGGGGAGGAAGTGTAATTTCAGATAGGGAAAGACCTCACTGAGAAGATGATTTTGGAGAAAAACTTGGAAGGAGGGSAAAGAGGGAGCCATGCAATGTCTAGGGGGACAGCATTCCAGGCAGAGTGTTAAAGCCCCAAGGAAGAGCAAGGGAGGCCACCTAAAGCTGGGGGAGAGGTGGGGAGGGTCAGAAGAAAGAACTGTAGTTGGAGAGAGAACTTGGCTACAGGCTCACCTACCGAACAGGACTTCCTGCTCATGTGACACTGGCCCCCCTCCGCCTGTCACCTGAGTTGCCCAACAGCAGAGCCCGCTCCCATGGGGCTGACTGACCTGCTCCTGGTGCTGGCACCGGATGCGCAGCAGCTGGCTGTGGTGCTCCTCCTGCAGGTGCGCCATCTCCATCTCGAATTGCCCCTGCAGCCGCTCCTGCAGCTCCTGGAGCTCGGCCTGCTGCTGCCAGCCCAGCCTCCTCAGCTCCTCCTCGAACCGCCGCTCCAGGTCCTCCTTCTCCTTCTGCAGCTTCTCACATTTGGCTGTGTTGAAGGCTGGCAGGGAACAAGATCTTCTTAACTCACTGGGGAGGAGGGACCCAAAGGACKCAACCCGAGTGGCGCGTTCACCTCCACTGTGAGACCACCAAGGTGAATACGAGAAACAGGGCAGGGTTCCCCGACTGTTTGCCTGAGAACCAGGCRTGAGCCTCACAAAAGACCCTGGAGGTTGATTTAAAACCAGGGCCCAGGGAGCTCTGGGGACTTGCCCAGCAGGTGAAAGAGCGGGGAAGGCCAAGTTGAGCTCTGATTGCAAAACCTACAAACCTGTAGCTCCTCAGGTGGTGTGTGGACCATGGGCATCAAAAATGGTGGGCAGTTGTTAAAAATTCAGATTTCGGGTGCATCCTGGGGGAAGCAGAGCCCCTGGGCCAGGATCCCAGGACCTAAACCTCTAACAAGGGACATGAGTGACTGTTATGTCCATCAGGYTTTGAGAACTGTGTGCATACGCATGGGCACTAGAGACAGGATGGGACCTGTGCTCAAGGCTCTTTTTCATGGTGGAAATGCCWAATGGGACATACTCAGAGAAGGTGTGGGGGTTTCCTTTCAGGTAACCTGAAGCTTTACTAACATCACTTTCAGAGGAATCTGTTCTTCTCCACCAATTTGTTCAGGAAAATGGGAAGACAAYTAGTCACTGGTTACCCTTTTGCATAAACATTCTGCTCTAGTCATAGATCATGGCTTGCATGGAGTGGGCAAGCAGCCAGCAGGGCACAAGGCATGAATGGCCACCTTTGCTCCCAGGCTTAGATCCTGCCCAAGGTCTGCTCTGCCTTGGTGCTTGTGCCTCCCCTGGGCTGTGGGCAAGAGCAGATGTTCACTTTCTCAAATCTCTTGCTGAGCTGTAAGCCTGCTTCCAAGGAGAAAAGGATCCGGGGAATCCAGGGTCTAGGTCAAATGGAGTTGATTTTACACACACACACACACACACACACACACACACACACACACTTACACACACTCACATACACATTAAGGTGTACATACACAGCATGAAGATCGAGCACCCATGCTGTATTCTCTAGGATATGAACTGGGGAGACATTGTCACTTACTTTAACATAAAGTGAGCAAGTATATCTGTTGGTTAACTTTAACTTGCACCGAGGGTGGCTGCCTGTGATCAGGAATACATATCCTGGGTCATTAGATAGCATTTAAAACACCTAATCCAAAATCCTACCCCATAGAGGCAGTTCATTCAAAGGCTTCTTTGCCACATTCATCTCTAAAAGAGTTTAGTTAGCATAAGGGACACTGAATTATGTTTTCGCCCTGGAAGAATGAGTGGTTGACTGGCTAGATATTGTACAGGTACCTCACTTTTGTATGAACAGTGTGTAAAAAGTTGTTCAGACCACCAGCCAAACACTGTCTCCAATAGTCTTCATGGTCAAAGGCTTCAGTTGGCCCAGGGTTTCTTGTCTCACCACTTAATGGGGATTGTGATCTGCCAATGTAATCAGGGTCTACTGAGGGCAGACGGGAGGTATCCACTCCACATGTAGGTAGTGGGGGGWATGCTGTCTACAGAGAACTTAAAAGCAAAATCCCAAATCATAAATGCCAATGGTTTTAAATAATGTTGGTGAAAAAAAATATTCTGTCTCAAAAAAGTGTTTTGTTGGTTTACATTATAAACGATTATTACAATTACTTTTGAGGTTTTCGAAAACAATATTTTTAAAATTGAAATTAAAATCCCAGGGCTGGGGGTGTAGCTCATTGGTAGAGCACTTGCCTAGTATGTGTGAGGCCCTGAGTTCCACCCCCAGAATCAGAAAAAAGTAAACAAATAAAAATAAAAATAAAAGCCACAAACAGATAATTTGGAAATATTTCACAAGGATATTATTATAAAAGTGACTTTGTCATATATAAGAGCGATCAAGATTATTCTGATGTATAGGAAAGACTCTGGCACTGGGTGGATTGTTAATGGGAATATAGGTGAAATAGCTGCTTCAGAGAGCAAARCTATCTTTCACAATTTAAGAGGGAATTGGGGATGACAGCTGAAGAACACTAGTTTCTTTCTGAGGTGATGAAAATATTCTAAAATAAATTTTAGTGGTAGTTCTACCACTTGTGAATATACTGAAAATCACTGAATTGTGCATATAAGCCTTATATCTCAATACAATTTTGACCAAAAAAAGCCAGGCATGGTAGCACATGCCTGTAATCCCAGCTACTCAGGAGGYGGAGGCAAGAGGATCATAAGTTTCAAGGCCAGCCTCAGCAATTATGGTCATAACAATATATAATTAATAATATCCTAATTATTTGTTTGCATCTTTATGAGTAGAAATATCTTAAATATTCCTAACACAGTTAAGGTAAGGTTGGGTTTTGGAAGGTGATGGTATCCAGTGGTTAGACTTTTTGACTTTGTTTCTGGTTTTACTCATTTAGGGGCAGGATGATTCATGGACTTGGCACTCTGTTGGGAGCTCACAGATATCAGTTTCCGTCTAGTGCTGTCCCCGAACTGCACTGTTGTCTTAAATAAATCATGAACAGTGCATTCCTCAGTTTTGCAGTCTATAAAGTGGCAAAGTAATCTCTTAACTGCACATACAGTTCCAGTCCTCAATTTCCCACTTGGTATATACATTTTGAGAGAGGGGAAACTTTCAATCTTCCAACGACCCTGTGTTGGAGCCCCAGGTCTCCAGAAGATATTGGATAATAAGAACATCTGGGCACCAAGGGAAAGGGCACCAATATGGAGTCCTCAAAGAAATAAATATCTTCTTGCTTCTGGTAAACCTTCAAAAATGTATCCACTTGGGCATTTTGCAGCAGAGATTAATGTTGGCTAATTTGATAGCATTAAACAACATTTGAAATCTGGAATCTTACTTTTATCATTTCTCTATTTCTATTCCTGGGAAACACTGGTATGTTATAGTTAAGAGGCTAATGCYACCATAATAAATCCCTAGATACTAGGTATCTATCTGAGAATGTAAAATTTTCCAAATAATAGGATTATGATTGGCTAAGAGAATATAACATTTTAAACTTATAATAATGACTTTTGAAATACAAAAGCAAAATTAGGATATGTTCTACAGGCTTTTTTCCCCCTGGGAATTGTACTCCAGGGGTGCTAAGCAACATCCCTAGTCCTTTTAAAATTTTTGTGTTTTAAGATGGGGTCTTGCTAAGATGCTAGGACCTCACTAAGTTGCTGAGGCTGRCTTTGAACTTGCAATCTTTCTACMTCAGCCTCTCAAATCACTGAGATTACAGGCATGTGCCACCATGTTTGGCTTGTTATACCATTTTAAGTAATTGATCCTCACTGATAATGAGCAATGCTCATACACACTGTGTGAGTGTGTGTGTGTGTGTGTGTGTGTGTGTGATGTAAAAATACTGCAAAAGCTATAAAACTGTATTTGAAGCTGGGTCCAGTGGTGCACACCTGTCATCCCAGCAATTCAGAAGGCTGAGGCATGAGGATCACAAGTTCGAGGCTAGCCTCAGCAACTTAGCGAGGTCCTAAGCAACTTAGAACTTTTCTCAAAATAAAAAATAAAAAAAGGGCTGCAGATGTGGCTCAGTGGTTAGGAACCCTTGTGTTCAATCTCCAGTATCCAAAAAAGAACAGCTGTATTTGGAACATCCTTAGACATATGTAATATGAAGAGAACAATCTTGTATTATACATGCACACACACACAAAATCATATATAATATAAAATGACTTATGAAAGTAAAGCATTAATGGGAGTGTGATCCTTGAGTTAACAGCAGGGTGTACCTGCTCTTGGAACCATTTATAATACAAGCTTAACTTCAACCATAGATCATTAGTCAAGTGAGTAGTTGAATATTCTGTAAGAGCAATTTGCTTTAAATGACTCTCCCAAGTGTCTCTTGAATAATTGTAACTTTTCATTGGTTTTCCAAAGAGGTGGTAGTGATAGGTGAATACAGCATTAGACTTAAACTATACAACTATCTAGCTGTATAGCTCAGGTTAAAGGCATAAAGAACATACTGCCTTTTGTGTCCTAATAAATGCTTTATATATAATGSTTATAAAATAAGTTATCAAAATATGATGAAATGATACTATGCATATACATAGAGTATATACATGTTGTTACTCTATATTTACAGTATATATTATGTTCATACACATAGTAGATATAGTATATATAGTATGTACATATTATACACACATAGTACACTATACACATGGTATATGATGTATGTTACTATTATCATTACATATTGATGGAAAGCAATATACCACAATTAGAAAGATTGTTTCTTTATAAGATGGGGAGTCACTGAAATAACAAAATGACAGTTAAGGAAAAAAATTAACTTAAAAACTGATGCATAAAGGCTGGGGGTTTAGTTTAGGGGTAGAACGCTTGCCTAGCATGCATGAGAGCTTGGGTTCCATCTCTGGCACTGCAAAAATAAACCACCAAATAAATAAACAGACAAAATGACACATAATTTAAATACATAGAGAATGGAATTTTCTTTTTTTAAATTTATATTTTATTTTTAGATGTATGGACACAGTACCTTTATTTAATTTATTTATGTGGTGCTGAGGATCGAACCCAGTGCCTCACATGTGCAAGGCAGGCGCTCTACCACTGAGCCCCAGCCCCAGCCCCAATTTGCCTTTTTCATCAGGGTAAATTCCACTTTAAATCCCATGGGATTTGAGAGTCTTAAAAAGTGTGAGCATTCTGTGACCYTCAGGAGAGGTACAGCACCTGAAAATGCCATCTGGTGGCCAATGTCCTTTGTCCAAACTTGTTAGATCACAGTGGGCGAGGTTGAAACATGGCGGCCTGGGATCCTGGACCCACTGCCCTGACGAGAATGTTAAGAGAGGGAAGGAGTGGCTGAAAATGAAGGACGTGAGTGTTCTTGGGCTGAGAGAAGAGCCAGAGAGAGTCACTCAGTGTCTTGTCCTCCTTGCAGATCCACGCAGCATCTCCAGGGCC